ACTGTAATTGTTTGTGTTTGTTTTTCTTTTGCATGTCTATTACTATTAGTACCATTATATATTTCATATACTTAGCAATAAATAACTTTTATAGTCAAATTGGTAGTAACTGGGTATATTTTTCCTTCTCTACTTCTCCTTCCTCACGTGCTCTGCAGCAATGCTTCTTTTACCTAAGCTAAAGATCCCTGTGAAGGCCAAAAATACTGTGGGGTCTGCTCATCAAGAGGCCAAAGATTGGGACATGGTGAATTTGAAACACGTAAGTGGATTACAGGCTGATTGACCCAGTTTGACTCAGACGTGCCCTTATGAACTGAATGCTGGCTCATGAGGGTGTCAGCTGGACACCCAGCCAGATTCAGAGGGATTCTGTTTACCTGTGTGCTTGTGTCTGACTGCAGTGTATTGTTGCTCTGATGAACTGATTCTTGGCATATGAGGGTGTCAGCCTGTCCATGCTGATCAACCCGGCCAGGTCAGGCATGTCACGTTAATCTGTGTGTGTTTGTGCGTATGACAGATTTGGTGACTGGAGGAACCCAGCCCCATTGAAACTGAGTCCTGCAAGATAGCTCCATTGGGGGGTGAGGACTTGCAGAAGGGAGATATACAGCTCCATATAGAAACACAAGTAACACAAGCAGCACATTGACAGAATTACCAAAACCCTAGAAACATATCCCTTAAATGAGCACACCCCAAAGTAATGGGCAAATCTGGTAAAGTAGATCTTAGTGGAAGAGATTTTCCCTTCCCACTTTTTTCTTGCCAAATCAAGAGGTCCCCTAACTTGCCTTCCGAACATTAACTCAAATGGCGAGAACCCAGTGGACTCCTGGTGCACCTTCTGGTAGGCAAAGAGCAAATGCAGAAGTTTTTCATTCCAGTCATTGAGGTTAGAGTCCACATAGGCCTTTAGCATACCTTTCAAGGTCCCATTGAACCTTTTTACGGGCCCATTTGTCTAAGGTTTTAAGCTGTGGTTTTGAGGTGTTTCACCCCACAGCACTCCCACATTCACTTCATCACCTCCACCAGGAAGTTTCAACCCCTGTTAGTTAGGATTTCAGAGGGAAAACTAAGCTGCAAGAAGATTTTGGTTAGGGCTTTAACAACTACAAGTGCCTCAGTGGAGGTCAAGGCAATCGCCTCCGGGTACCGAGTTGTGAAATCCACTAGAGTCAGGATGTATTTCTTCCCTCTATGAGTCTTATGCCTCAGAGGGCCCACACTGTCTATTCCCACTCTTTGGAGGGGTTGATTAATGATAGGGAGGGGTTGTAGGGGAGCCTTTCTCTTGTCCCCACTTTTGCCCATCCGTTGGCATGTCTTGCAAGATTTGCAGTAGTCGGTCACATTCTGGGCAATTCTGTGCCAATAAAAGTTCACCTGTAGCCGCTGGCACATCCATTCCCTGCCCATGTGACCAGCACACAGTAAATTGTGAGCCATGGAAAGCAATTGTTGTTTGAACTTACGAGGTACTATGAGCTGGCAATGAGGTTTTCAGGTCTCAGCATGATTTTTTGGTACCCACAACCGATAGAGAAATTCCTTACCCCAGACCACCTGTTCCCTTTTATTTGAGGTGAACTCTGTTTCTTGCGCCTGAGCCATCCGCCGGAGTTTCTGCAAGCTGGGGTTCTTCAACTCCTCTTGCTCAGCTAAGCAATCAGCAGAGAGTTCTGGTGCTCCTGTAAGGAGTGCACCTTTACACTTGGGAATATCCTTTAACTTTTCCCCAAGAGTCTCAGTTTTCTCTGCCACTGACTGACTAGACTCCTCCCTGGGGTTGTCACCTAACCCAACCGCGAGGTCGCTAGTTTTTTCAATGGCTGGAGACTGGTTGCAGTCAGAGAGAGTTTGAGTCTCTCCCTTCTCCCCCTCTGTCTCAGTAGCCAATTGGGTGACCAGGCCCTGGGAAGTTTACACTCCTTCTGCCTTAGTCTTTTTGCTCTGTTGATGAATCACCACATTAACACGGTAGGGCTCTAGGAGGTGGTCCTCCTCCCTTTGCAGGTATTCTAGCTCCAACACATCACGTCCCACCAGGATGGGAACAGGAGCCCCTTCCAGCACACCCAGTTCTATGCACATCCCGTAGCCTCTCCACTTGATGGGGAGATGGGTTACTGGTACCTTGAATGGTTGGGGCCCCACCCCTTGAATGGTAAGGGTCCTAACTGGGACTATATTTGCAGCTGAAACAAGGTTGGCATCGATTAATGACACACTGGCCCTTGTGTCCAGTTCCCCAACAAGGGTTCTCCCATTAACCATTATATTAGTCCGGTGGATGGCTTTCACCTCCTCTGGGTTTGTAATCCTGTAGCAACAGGTACACCCCTTAGAGTGGCTTGGGTCTCCATTCTCCCTCCTTACAGCTTTTGCATGTCTGACTGGCTTGGGTTTGTTACTTAGCTTTGGACAGTTGGGCCGGATGTGGCCCAGCTCCCCACAGTTATAGCAACGCCTCTTTTCTGAATTGGGTGGTTTGTCTGAATCTGGGGCTGCCTTGTGCTCAGTGGGAGGTGGCCCTCTTTCCTTTTTTGGGCCTGGCCCTCCCTTCCCTTCCCCACTCTTTGGAACCTTTTCTGTTCCTTCCCAAAGTAGGGAGGCTTCTTGTCCAGCCCCTCATGATTTAGTAACAGCTGGTCTGCAATTTCAGCAGCCTCTTGGATGGTTTGGGCCTCCCCATCTCTGACTAGGTTTTTAATCTTCTTTGGACAGTGGTGATAAAATTGGTCCAGCGCTATGAGGTTTAGCACCTTTTCTTTATTGTCAGCCTTGGCTCCATTTGCCCATTTAAGGAGTGTGTTTCACACCTGGGCTGCTGTGACGTCTTGCGCCCTTCGTGCTGCCCAGCCTGTCGGGGTGTAGCCCCTCCCCTCAACTCACGTGCCACGACTTTGATGTCAAAACTACTATGAGAGGGGTTCTTTTTCAGTGGAGATCTTCCCAAGGGCCCTCCCAATGGACAGCAGTACTTACAGTTGTTTGGCATGATGTTCCACAGGACTCCACCTCCCCGTCCACTCGCCAACCGGGTGGATATCCGTTAATGATGATCTTCGGCCCTGTAGGATGGACCAGGGTCTGCCTTCCTGGTTTCAGTTGCTTTTTTCCCCCCTTCTCGGGGTTTGTCTTATTTCAGAAAAAATATTCCCCTGAGGAGGAAGGGGCTGCAGAGCTGCCTCCTTTACCCCTGCCTCCTCTAGGGGGCACAAATGCCTCCTCCCTCCTGCTGTCCTCAGGGAACTCCCCTGCCTCCTTGGCCTCCCCTTCCACTGGGAACTGGAGGGGTGCCCCTGCTTTGCCTCCGGCAGGGGGCTTAAAGGTCTCCCTGGTGCTGCCTGTGGGAGCCGCGCAGGCTGTGTCGCTCCCTTCCTGCACCGGAGCTGCAGCCCGCCTAGCGAACTGCCGGCCCGCGCTCTCTCTCTCCAGCTCTCCTCCTGCCCTAGTTCTGGTGGGGCTTTTAAACTTTCCTGCACCGGAAACAGCTGATTAAACAGGTGGCATAACACCAGTTCATGCGGCTGAGACCGCGGTCGCGGCTCCGGCTGCCCCGTGGGAGGTGAGTTATCCCTGCTGGGGGTCTGCTCTCGGGGTATGGGGCCTGCGGGGTTTACTCTCTCCCCTTCAGGAGCCTGTGGTGGTGCCTCGCCGCCACAGACCTCCCCCCTTAAGTTGCCTCGTGGCGTCTGGTTTCCGCATGCGGTGTCTTGTATCACCTGATGCTCCTCCCCATGGATGTGACCCAATCCCTCTTCCGGCTTGTCTGGGCCTTCCCATCTGGACAGAAAATCAGCCACGAAGTTATCTTTGCCCGGGCAGTGTACCACAGTGAACTTGAGTGGCTGCAATGCCAAGGCCCAGCAGGTGATCCGGGCGTTTATGCTTTGTTTCCGTGTCAACCATTGTAATGGGGCGTGATCCGTCACTACCACAAATTCCCTCCCCATTAGGTAGTACTTAAAGTATTCTGTTGCCCAGCGTATTGCCAGACACTCCCTCTCAACCGTGGCATACCTGGTCTCCATACGGCTGAGTTTTCAGCTGGCGAAAGCAATCAGGCACTCTTCTTGTCCGCATTTATGGAGTAATACCACTCCCAGGGCACAGCCTGATGCATCTGTCTGTAAAATGAATGGGGCATTAAAGTTAGGGGTGTGCACAATAACATTGTGGTGCATTGCCTCCTTCAAGTCTTGGAAGCTCTTTCGCATCTCTGGAGTCCATTTCAACGGAGCTATGAACACCCCAGCCAATGCATCCATGAGCGATGTGGAGAGAGTTGCAAAATAGGGTATAAACCGTCAATAATAATTAACGAGTCCCAAGAAGGAATGCAGCTGTTTACGGGTGCGCAGTTCCTGGAATTGTCTTATGGCTTCGATCTTATCGGTAAGGGGTCAAATTGTCCCTCAGCCTACCCGAAATCCCAGGTATGCCGTTTCTCTTCCCACTAACTTACATTTCCTGGGGTTGGCGGTCAGCCCCGCTGTTTGGAGCTCTCCCAGGACAGCAATCAGGGCTTTAAGGTGTTGTTCCCAACTGGGAGTAAATATAATTATATCATTGATGTACGCCACTGCATACGCTGCATGTGGTGCCAGCAAGTTATCCATCAACCTTTGGAATGTTGCGGCTGCGCTGTTGAGGCCAAAGGGCATCCGTATGAACTCGAATAAGCCCCAAGGGGTTCCAAAGGCTGTTTTGGCACAATCCGTGGGGCACATAGGGATTTGCCAATACCCCTTTACCAGATCGAGTGTAGATATATATTGTGCTTCGCCGATCCTCTCAACGAGGTGGGTGATATGTGGCATTGGGAATGCATCAAAGGTCATCAGGGCGTTAAGCTTCCTATAATCTATACATATGTGTAGTGACCCATCCGGCTTGACCATGAGCACAACGGGACTCTGCCAAGGACTACAGGATGGTCATATAATCCCCTGTTCCTGCATCTTCTTTATCTCCCGCCTTATTTCCTGTTGCCAACGTTGGGGTATCAGCCTCCACCTTTCCCTAACCAGGGCCCCCTGAGGTGTTCTGATCTCATCTTCCATTCCCATCACTTGTCCTGGGGCTTCTTGGAACACTGCCTGGAAATCTTCTATCAAGGCCAATAGCTCCTGTCTTTGTTGGCTATCCAGCTCCTTGCCTATTTGCACCGATCCCTCCTCTGGGGATCTGCTCAACCCGGGGCAGGGTGGTTCCAGGTCCTCCCCTGTATCCTCTTCTTGTGCCATCCAGCTCTGTGGGGTTTTCCACTCCTTAAGCAGGTTCACATGGTAAATCTGGTGCTCCCGGTGGTGACCCGGTTTGAGCAGTTCATAATCCACTTGTCAAACAACTGTAAATGGGCCTTGCCACATTGCAAGCTGTTTGCTTGAGGAGGCTGGAAGTGATACCAAAACCCTGTCTCCAGGCTGGAAGGTTCGAGCTCTTGCCTTCTCATTATAGTGAGTCTCCTGTTGCTCTTGGGTGCTCCTCAAATTTTGACCGGCGATCCGTTGGGCTCTGGTGATCTGGTCCTGCAATTCTTGGCGGTACCTTTCTGCCGATATTCCTAACCCCATCGGCTGCTCCCATTCTTCCCTGATGGCCTGTAGCAGCCCCCTGGGACTGTGGTCATACACCAACTGGAACAGAGAGTACTGTGTCAATTCTTGGGGTGCGTCCCTCAGGGCAAACAACAAGGGCGTCAAGATGGTATCCCACCTCCGGGGGGTCTTCCTGAGAGCAACGTCTGAGCAGATGCTTGATGGTTCCATTTAATCTTTCCACAAGACCGTTGGTACACCGACGTCTTCAACTGGGTGACGCCGAGGGTTTTACATAAGGCTTTCATCACACCAGACATAAAGTTCGTCCCCTGGTCCTTGAGTATTTCCCGTGGTATGCCCACCCGTGCTATCCTTTTGAGTAACTCTTCTGCCATTCGCATAGCTGTTATAGACCTCAGAGGAACCACCTCCGGGAACCAGGTAGCATAATCCACCAATACCAAAATAAATTAATAACCATTATGGGACCTCGAGAGGGGGCTCTCTGGGCAAGCAGACCCCCACCTTTCCACGTCCTCTTGTAGACATGGCCAAAAGAATTCTTGGACCAGCCTAGCCCAGGTCTATTGCGTCCCAAATGGTCCCCCATGGGGGAATCATGAGCCAATCTCCACACCGCACGGCGGAGTGAGGACAGGACCACTAGCTGCCTCCCTCTCGCGGTGCCCTCCTCGCCCTGTTGGACCCGATACAATAACCCCCCGATTACCTCAAAGCCAGGACGACTCCATGACGATCCTTCCCCGAGTTCTGCGGCCCATAGCCACTGGAGTTCCGGGTCTTCATGTTGGGCCCGACGGAACTGGGCTGAGCTCACTAGCTGCTCCAGGTTGGTACTGCCTGATGCTACTTCATTTGGGTGGGATGGGCTCTTGCCGGCCCATCCGTCTCCCCTCCTGAGCTGCTTCCTTTCCTCTTCCCTTGCTCACACTCATTCGAGGACTGTGTAGAATGGCCCCCATTCTCGCCCTAGGATCATCTCACAGGCCAAGGTCAGGGCTAGTCCGACTCGCAGCTCCCCGCAAAACTCCATCACCCAGAACGGCAAATAACAGCTCTGGAACCGCATCTCTCCCCCTAATATATAGGTCATCGTAAGGGGTCCCGTGTCCTTCCGCCCCGCCCAAAGTCCACGCGTAGGAACTGGGAACACTCCGTGTCCAACATTGCCTTGACTGTCTTGCCTCCAATCCAGGCAGTTACTATGGGGTGGTTCCATCCTCCTTCTTGAGTGGCGAACCCAAAACTGCAATCCATGGGCTCCCCCTTCTCCGTCTCCTTGCCTCTCTCACAAGGCGGAGGGTATCCCACTGGCACACGGCTCAACTCGCTCAGGCCCATGCCACATTCGTGGGAGATGTGTCCCGTTTGCCCACAGCGATAGCATACCACCCCTCTTGGTGTTCCTCATCTCAAACCCGTCTGCCTCTCCCCTTCATTCGGCTGGCCCTCCTTCAAGGCTCGTGAGCCTCGCCCATATCCTTTTTCCTTTTCTGAATTAGTGAAGGCCTCAGCTAAGCAGAGAGCTTCTTCACTGGTCTGCGGCTGGTGTCTCCATACCCATCTCTGGGTGTCTTCTTCCAAATCCCAAAGGAACTGCTCTAGTACGATCTGGTCCATCACCCCCTCACAGTAAAACTTGCCCACTGGTAACCATTTATTGAGCGAGTCCCTTAAAGCTTGCAACAAGCCCCAGGGTCGCTTAACTTCCCTGGGCTTTCGGGCCCTGAAGGCCTGCCGGTGACTTTCCGGGGAGATCTCGAGCCTGTAGAGGATTGCCACCTTGACTGTCTCATAATCGCGGGCTTCTTCCCTCGGCAGGGCCCGTAGGCGGCTTGGGCCTGATCTATCACCAGTGCCCCTAGGTGGTGACCCCACTGACTACGGTTCAGCCTAGTCTGGATAGCGGTCCTCTCGAAGGCTTCTATATAAGCTTTGGGATCATCTTCCCTAGTCATTCGGGGCATCTTGAATAGAGCAGCATTACACTGCATCCACTCTTGCTGGTGTGCGCCCTGTAGCTGCTGCACCTCCAGCACTTGCCCTATGGCCTGAATTGCCTGCGTAAGCAGCTCCACATGAGTTATTGCTGGCTGGTGCATCTCTGCTTAACCCCGGGTCAGAAACTCTGTCCTGTTGATGATGTAAAAGCTTCCCGGTCAATGCACCACTGTGACGTCTTGCAGCCTTCGTGCTGCCCGGCCTGTCGGGGTTTAGCCCCTCCCCTCTACTCTCCTGCCACAACTTTGATGTCAAAACTACTATGAGAGGGGTTCTTTTTCAGTGGAGATCTTTCCGGGGCCCCTCCCGATGGACAGCAGTACTTACAGTTGTTTGATGCGATATTCCACGGGGCTCCGCCTCCCCTACACACCATCCACTCGCCAACCGCGTGGATATCTGTTAATGATGGTCTTTGGCCCTGTAGGATAGCCCAGGGCCTGCCTTCCTGGTTTCACTTGCTTTTTCCCCTCTTCTCTGGGTTTGTCTTATTTCAGAAAAAATATTCCCTGAGGAGGCAGGAGCTGCAGAGCTGCCTCCTTTACCCCTGCCTCCTCTAGGGGGAACAAATGCCTCCTCCCTCCTGCTGTCCTCAGGGAACTCCCCTGCCTCCTCGGCTTCCCCTTCCACTGGGAACTGGAGGGGTGCCCCTGCTTTGCCTCCAGCAGGGAGCTTAAAGGTCTCCCTGGTGCTGCCTGTGGGAGCCGCGCAGGCTGTTTCGCTCCCTTCCCGTGCCAGAGCCGCAGCCCGCCTAGCGAGCTGCCGGCCCGTGCTCTCTCTCTCCAGCTCTCCTCCTGCCCTAGTTCCGGCAGGGCTTTTAAACTTTCCTGCACCGGAAACAGCTGATTAAACAGCTGGCGTAACGCCGGTTCGCACGGCTGCGGCCATGGTCGCAGCTCTGGCTCCGGCTGCCCTGTGGGAGGTGAGTTATCCCTGCTGGGGGTCTGCTCCCAGGGTATGGGGCCCATGGGGTTTACTCTCTCCCCTTCAGGAGCCTGTGGTGGTGCCTCACCGCCACAGTCACAAACTCGACCATTGTCTTCCCTGGTTGTGGGATGGTATTCTGGAATTTTTTCTGGAAATAATCCAGTCCTAACCTGAACCTTAAACACACAGCATTTTTAAAGGCATCATGGTTATTTGCTGATTTTGAGGGCAGGCTATTTAGGACCACAGATGTGACCTTCAACCAGAGCAGCCATGTGTTTCATGAACTCTTCCTTTGGCAACTTCCATGGGTGCGCTTGGTTTTCGAAGTTGCTTAGGAACACTTCTGGATCATCCCTGTCTTTGTAGTGAGAGAAGACTGGGGTGTTCAGACTGGGGGATGCAGCTAGTGCTGGCTGGGTGCCCACAGTTTCAGCATTTGTCTGCATTCAGAGTACTGCAAGCTAGTGCTCATGCTTGAGCCTTTCCTCTTCAACCTCTGCCTCACACTGGTGCTGGGCTTTTCTAGCCTCCTGCTCATGCTGCTCCTTCTCGTGCTGGCATTGGGCTTCCAGCTCCTCACACTGGTGCTTGGTCTCCAGCTCCATTCTATCTAACTCAAGCTCATGCTTGAACTTATGCTCTCGCTCCTCAGCTTCTAGCTGCAGCTGGTATTTCCAGAAGTCCCACTCAAAAGACAGCCCCTTGGGGCCCCCCGTGGGTTCTGTATGGGCGGGTGGAGGTGATCTTGCAACCTGGTCATTATCACACAGGATCTTAATCAGGTATTCTCTCTTTTGCTCGTTCCTCACTGGAAGGCCTCTCTCTTTCATCAGCTCTTTCAAGTCGACCACCATCATGTGGTCATACTCGTCAGCCATCCTAGCTATCTACACTGTTCAGTTGACCTGATGCCAAATTAGAAATTGTTTGCTCAAAGGTTTTCAGTGACTCTATTCCCTTCTCCAAATTACGCCTTCAAATACAGCAGGTTGTCAGATCCCACCTCTCCCACCACATGTGGCAGGCCAGTAGGGG